TACACATGTTGCCCTATGACAATGGTTAACAACCTCACAACACATCAACACTATCCTTACTCAGCCTTCGGTTCCCTATCACCAGCTTTCCTGTCCCCTCCTGCCTTCTGGCCCTTGTTGCTGGACTGCTGGGCCTTATTAGTCCCATTTGGTTTTATGGGGCTGTCCACTTGCCGGCTGAACAGTGAAGAACCAAAAGAGATTTTACTTTTGATTTTGCATTACAAAATAATAGAAACATAAAAGGCAAAAGCTGTAGGAAGAATATGCATTGATTCCTCTAGCCACTTAGAGAGGAACAGTGTGGAAGGAGAAAGGACTGGCCCAGAGTACTACATGAAGAAAACTGCATTTCCCTTAGAGTTCTGATCTCTGAAATCATATCCAAGGCTTTCGACACAAAGGCTTTTAACGTATTATCCTTCTCATATTGGGCCAGAAGAGCCATAGGTTTTACCCAAAAAATAAGGAACCCTGCCAAAATGCCACCAACCCTGCATGCTTACTGGGCATCTACTAAGTGCCCGGGACTGAGCCATCTACTCTGGGGGACAAAGTTGAATAAGGCATGGTCACTGCTCTCGCATTTAGTGGCAGAAGCAGGCACACACACCAGTAACTTGATTCCAAGGCAGACTGTGATAAGTGTTATCTTAGATCACTGAAGGAGACAGGTCACACAACTGGAATAGCATGAAGTCAGGCCCGAGGCTGAGGCCATGCTGTTATTTAGGAACCCTATCAGGTTCATCTCACAGCTTGGCAATGGTCCAAGAAACCCTGTAGCTTCTTGTCCTGGGTCTGCTGGGTCAGAGAACACTTCCACGACCTCTCCTGGACTCTACTGTTGAGGCCACTAGAGTTTAAGAGCGTATAGAAACAGGTGGGAGGGAAAGGTTTATTCCAATTTAACAACAACAACAAAAAAATCCTAGCACTATGGAAAAATGACCTGCTTAAAGATTCCCTCTCTCATCTCCCAGCATGTCACCAGAGGTGCCAAACATCAGAGCCCCCAGTTTTGCAGCCATTCAGGAAGCAAACAAAACCAAAAATGTTAAATTTGTTTATTTTTCAAGGGTAGTTCTTATCTCTTTCAGCTTTGCCTTAGCTGTTTGCATGTGAAGCACTGGAGGACGGAGCCCCTCCCTCTGACTCACTTCTTTGTCTCCTACAGCACCTAGCAGAGGCTTTATAGTATCAAATACTCAAGTTCAATAGAATAGAATTGAACTTGTTATTGTATAAGATCTTCCCCATTTCCCAACTTGGTGGCAACTTTTCCAAAATGCCCTCAAACTTAGAACTAAAAGATATAAGAAGAAATAAAACTTTTTTCTCTGCTAAATATTGAATCATCTTGAATGGATTTTAAAAAAATAAGAAGACTGGGAAGAGGAATTAACTTGGATGAAAAAAGGAAGGAGGACTTGACTGGATGCCCAGAGGTCTAAGCTCTATCCTTGGCTCTGTGTGACCTCAAACAAGCTGGTCTCCTTCTGAGTTTCAATTTCCTCAACTATCAAACAAGAGGGCTGAATAGGTTTATTGCCAAGACTTTGTTTATTTTGAGTGATCTATTGTTCTCATTGTGATTGTTCTCCACACTATCTGCAAAAATCATAATAACATATAATACTTTATAATTTACAATGGATTTCTGTACTAATATGTATGAAACTGTACTTTCAACATTAAAATTCTATGATTTGGACCTGGCTATATTGAGCAGGGGGCCAGATGAAGCTGGGACAGTCCTCTACTCTGGCCTTCTCTAAAGCAGAGATGAGCTCTAGGGCTTTCTCTGGCCTAGGTCAGATTCCTGTGGTCAAACTCAGACCAAAACCAACTGTTGGGGTTTTGGAATGGACTAGTCTCTGGTGTGAATGAAACTATGAAACCCACAAATTTTACTTCTACGTGTGCTGGCCAGGCCCACTAACCAGAGTTTAAGGCAGGCTTCTGGCAGAAGACTTTCCTCCCTCTTTTTTCTTCTTTACTCAGTCTTCACTGCTTACCTCTCCTGCATGCTCATGGCTTCGATCAATCACCATCTAACAGTGATGATTAGCAAATCAGGAATACGAACCTGAACTGAGATTTCAGCTTGCAACCCGCTTTCAAACTAACTAATCAACATCTCCGTTGTGTGTCCCTCAGGTCTTTGAAGCTCAATGACATCCACACCAAATTTATTGCCTTCTATCCTAATAGCACCTCCTCCTAACCTCCTTGGCTCTTTCAACCGTGCCAACATTTTCCTCGTTAACTTGGCTCAAAACTTTCAGTTCAGTCCTAATTCTTTTTCTTGAACGTCCATTGCTAATCAATGGCCAAGTCTAGCAGATTCTCAGGCCTTGTCATCACTTACTTAGTGTGATTGTTAAGGTTGTGTGTCAATATGGGTAGGCCATGATTCTCCGTGGTTTGGCAGTTATAACGTAGTTTGGCAGTAGTACGATGATGTGATCCCTTCCATGATGAGATTTGATATAGTGTGATCACCTCCATGATGGAATCTGCTATGAGGAGCCAATCAGCTGAAAGGGAGTTTCCTTGGGGCTGTGACCTGCATCAAATGTAAGTGGACTTTCTGGCAAAACTAGCAGGCTTTTGCTCGTTCTGGATCCTGCAGCTAGCTCCTGTTCATCTAACCTTCAGTTCTTGGGACTTGAGCTAGCAGCTTACCTGCCCTCTTACCTGCCAGTCTTTGTATTCATCAATCTTTGCAGCCTGTGAGCAAGAGCCCTGCTGTCTGACCTGACAATCTTGGATTTGCCAGTCTCTGACCCAGGGACTTGGGATGTTCCAGCCTCTACAACCACATGAGCCATTTCCTTGATATAAATCTCTTTCTCTACATATGTATTTATACCCTTTACTGGTTTTGCTTCTCTAGAGAGCCCAGCCTAAGACACTCGTTCTTGTCATTGTTAGGTGCTGTCGAGTCAGTTCTGACTCATAGCAAGCCTATGTACAACAGAACAAAACACTGCCTGATCCTGTGCCACCCTCACAATCATTATTATGCTTGAGCCCATTGTTGCAGCCACTGTGTCAATCCATTCTTTGAGGGTCTTCCTCTTCTTCGATGACCCTCTACTTTACTAAGCATGTTGTCCTTCTCTAGGGACTGATCCCTCCTGGTAAAATGTCCAAAGTATGTGAGACATAGTCTCACCATCCTTGCTTCTAAGGAACATTCTGGTTGTGCTTCTTCTAAGACAGATTTGTTCGTTCTTTTGGCAGTCCATGGTATATTTAATATTCTTCACCAACACCACAATTTAAAGACTTCAATTCTTCTTCAGTCTTCCTTATTCATAAGACACTTAAGAAAGCACTTTAATTTTCTAATCTACACTCACTGATCTCATTCACCATGCACACACTCCTTTCTAATCATGCCATACTTCTAATTAGAAACATTCAGAGACTCTCTATGGACTACCACGTAGTCCACTTTTGAAACCCTGAAGTTGAAGGCCTTTCATCTCTACTCTTCCAGCTGTACGTCCTGCCACTAAGTGAACTGCGCATTATTCTCTAAACCTGCACCCCTAACACATACTCCTTTGTAATAGTGTTAACTAATTTAGCATGACCTGCTCTCTTATGAAAACATGATTCCATTCTCCAAGGTGCAGCTCAAACTGCCTCTTTCCTCATATATCTTTCTTAGGCCAGATGTGTGTTCTTCATCTTCAGAACCCCACAGGTCCTTTGGCCTTTTTCCTTCTATGGGCACTTAATCTTACTCTGCCCAGTACTGTGGTCAGTTGAGTACTTACTGTATTTTTTTGAAAATAAGCTACCCTCATAAATAGTGTGCACATGCATATAATGTGTGACATAGCTTGCTTAGGAAAATAGTGAGAGGGTTGTGCGGTTGGCTATTTGCGTAAAA